CCGGTGTTCCAGGGAACTCACCAAGTGTCAGAAAACACTCTATTTTTCTCCGTACCCAAATCTCTTAAAAAGGGGCTGCAACGGATCTGATACAGACTGATCCAGATTTGAACACTTCTATGACGTCACAGAAGTGGCGCTACGGCTATTGGGCCAACTCCACCAATCAGGAGGAGACAGCCACGGACATTGCCGATCGAAAGCGCTGGAGACGCTGTAGTACATATGCCAGGCCTGTAGATGGTGCTGTTCTCACAGAGTCAGCCCATGAAAAGACAGTGTTAAATTGAGCGAAATGAGGAATGGCTAAAATGCATGATCTGTTTGGTATTTTGAAAAATAAAAAGTATAAATATGCCTTATATAGGTATGGTCCTACACTATATTATTCAAATATAGCATGATAGGTCCACTTTAAGTATTTTCGAGGAAACGCGGAAACACAAGCAATCTGTCCATCAGCTGGTCAAAAGGCATCATATTCATACGGAGAAATGCACTGTTTTCAACTTCCAACCCGAGTTAAGGAAGTTGAAAACGGTGCATTTCTCCATATGAATATGATGCCTTTTGACCAGCTGATTGACAGATTGCTTGTGTTTCCAGTTCTGTTCCCCCGATTACGTGTAAGGTGGGAGAAGTATACAGATCAAGTACAAGTATTATACTGCAGCCGTTCGGCATCTTGTGATTGAATTTACTACAGGTGTAACTAAAGTCTGATTTAAGAGTTGATTATATTTCACATCATTAATCCAGATCTGTAAAGTAACTTAAGGTGTTAAATAAATGTAGTGGAGTAAAAGTACACCATTTACCTCTGGACTGTAGAGGAGCAGAAGTAGGCTACAAAGAAGCAAAAGTGGAAATACTTAAGTACCTCAATATAAGTACAGTACTTGAGTAAATCTACTTAGTTACTACCACCTCTGCAGGTATGTTATGTGTGCTAGCAGCCCATAATCCACACTATACATAAACTAAATCAATGTTAATTCTGTTTCCAATTTGTTTAGTTTTTCCCCTAAAAAATTAACAAAAATAACCTGTTATTACTACTATAATAATACTGTTAAAGAACCGTATCGATAAGCAGTATTTGTCATTGTTTCAATTCGGCCTCATTATTTCACAGTGGCACAGGATCATCTGCCAATACAAGCACTTTTGTTCATGTTCAATCCATAATAAAATATACAAATAGTTGGATCTTTTTGTGTTGTTATTATTAGCAGAGAAAATGTAATGTTTGTACAACTATATACAATTAATTCTACCAATCTCGGTGGGAACCGGGTTAGGGGGGTCTGGAAAATAATTCCAATTACCCACTGGGGGCCTGACTGAAAAAGGTTGGGAAGCACAGGACTGGGGAGTCCCTCAGAGTGATGGGGGCCGGTGGGGCTGATTGAGAGCGTTTAGCTCCAGGTCCCTGCACCAAGTAAGGGATCATGAAAAGAGCTAAAGGTGGAGAACAGATTCAATTTCACATCAATATGAAGTTGTTCTGAACCTGGACAGCCAGCAGAGGGCAGCCTGCTGGGACAATCAAGTATATCTCTTATATTTATGTTATTAAGCACAGAGGCCTTTGGTAAACTGAACAGACAGAAACAGCAGAGAGTTGAGGAACAGAAAGTTTCTACATGTTCTCCATGAGTCCACAGGGAGATGTAGCCTCTACTTACTCCACCTCCTCTCTCTCTCTGTTTCTCAAGGACAGGTGTCTGTGTGACGTGTGACATGTCATTTGCATGATTGTAATGCTTCACTGCTCCTCACAGTTTTAAGGTCTTGAGTCACGTAGAGTCTGAACCGTGTTCCTGCACTCATCCTGAGAACTGGAGATCATGTTGTCAGTAACTCTGCTTGTCATGTTGGGCTTTCTGTGTCAGGGTGAGAGACTTTGAAAATGTATCATCTGAAATGATAGGAGTAATGTATGTGTGGTTCAATGTGTGTCTTTTCTTTTCATGTTTGCATCCAATGTGCTTTGTCTTTAACTCTTTCTATTATCATTTAAACTGCTGCTCCATGTTGTTGGTTATCTAACATTTCACTTCTCATTTCAGAGTCTTCTGCCAACAAGTTCCTGACTCAGACTGACTCATCCAAGTCTGTTAGTGCTGGAGGGACTGTGACCATCAGCGCTACAGGGAGCTCAGATATTGGTGCTGATCTCAGTTGGTATCTTCAGAAACCTGGACAGGCTCCTAAACTTCTTATATACTCATCATCATCTCTGTTCTCTGGAACTGAGCCTAGATTCAGTGGTACTAGCTCTGGTGCTCAGTACACTTTAACCATCAGTAACGTTAAGGATGTTGATGCAGGAGATTACTATTGTCTGGGTGCTCATGGTGGTGGCGTGTTCACACAGTGATTTAGAGCCGTACAAAAACCTCCTTCAGTCTGAAGTAAAGCGTCCTGCTGCAGCTGCAGAGGTGAAGAGACTGAGAGGAGGAGAACTGGTCCAGTGAACACAAGAGTCATCAAGCAGAACCACCATGAACCCAAATAAAGCTGAAACACACTCTCAGACACTCTTCAACACCCTGTTTAAACTATATTATTGTCACCCTGAACATTGAGCTGACAGGAACTTCACCAAACACTAACTCCATATTCACATTATGTTGAAAAATAAATTCTTAAAAATCTAAATATCTACTCTCAGCTCAGATTAAAGGCTGATCTTATTTATGAGCCATAAACTTTCTGCCTCACTAAAAATCAAGTTCACATTAGGATCAAATTCTTAATCACAATAAAACAGTGTAGTAACTTTCCTTCACCACCAGGTCAATTTCATTGCCAATTAAAAAATAAATATCCAAAGCTTTATCTTGTTCTGCTGATAGAAGTGCAGAATGTTATAAAACCTTTTAATGTCTTACTACTTTAAATAAAACACCAAACACTTCATCATGTTATTTATCAGAGAAAGCTTTATTAGGAACATCCTGAATCATCAACAAGACAGTTACTAAGCACACTCTCATCTCTGCTGAGCTTCACACATCACTCTCTAAGTTGCTGCTGTCCAACACTTTACAGCAGTGTTGTTCTCGGCCACACAAAGCTTCACTTTCCTCTACAAACATTAAAGCTCCTGATGATCAGAGCAGCATGTGTTCTCCTGGGCTCCAGCGGCCCCTCTAGCCCCCACACTGGCTCCTGTGGAGGGACTGGGTCTGGCTGTGGGCATGATGGAGGACCTTGCAGGAGTACAGCTCTCCTGACATCCAGCTCTCCTGGCTCAGGCTCAGGCTGCTGCTGCTGCTGTAGCGTCCGCTCTTCTCCTCCTCCGAGCTGCTCAGGACCCCCTCTGTCACCTGTGTGCCGTCCACCTCCCAGCTCACCACGGCTCCCTGAGGAGAGTAGCCGGTCAGCAGGCAGGCCAGCGTGAGCGAGCCCCCAGAGAGCTGCTCAGAGGAGGAGGGGGCCAGCAGAGAGACGGAGGGCCTGAGCATGGAGCCCGCTGCAGGGGAGAGAGACACAAGGAGCAGATGAACTTCCACTGAGGGACAGACGCTGTGAGACAGAGTCCATACAGGACACATTCAAACATTCAGAGGCTTTACTGTCATATGCACAGTAGCTGCAGTGAATCAGAACCAGAGTCAGAATACCTTTAGTAGTCCCTCAGAGGGGACATTCACGCTGTTACAGCAGAAAAGAGCCAGAGACAGCTTCATGTTACGTAGAAGCATGCATACAGAAGTATTCAAGTAAAAAAAAGTTATAATATAATAAAATATGAAATAAAAAGTTACACAATTTACAAAATATACATCCTGTAACAGTTCTGAGGATTTAGCAGCCAGGTATATATTGCACATATAGCACATATTGCACACAGGCGATGTAGATAAGGCAATGAAAAGCCCAAGGCTCCTCCAACAATGCAACATACAAATATGTAGGACATAAAACAATAAAACATATTTAAAAAACATTCAAATAGTTCCAGAACAAACAGAACGAGGAAGGAAATGAGGGTTTAATAAATAAAATAAAATGTTAAACTTGACGTTTGGAGTCAGAGTGTTATTCTGTAGCTCTCATCAGAACAAGAATTATACATTGAAGGTACAGGACAGAGAAAGTGGGGGTCAGCTGTGAGCATGAGCTGTGATCACAAGAGGAGCTGAGGCATGGGAGAACACGAGGGTTTCATTCATAAAATCAAACGGTGATACTTTATATCATTCTGGCATTTAAAATAATGAATCTTCTTCTTTGGCACTCATCAAAACTCCTGAAGAGTTACATGAAAGTAAGCAACGTAATGAAGGTGTTCATGTAATGATCATTATATGAAAAGCTTTATCTCTGCTTTACAATGTTTCAGAATGAATAACTCATCTCTGAAATCATTTACTGTTCAGAAAAACAAAAAGTAACATCTCATACAGTTGAAGACTTTGTCATCTGTTTGTTTCACTTCCTTTGAACTCTTTTAAACTAACGGACTGTGAACGCACCCTGCAGCGACTCTGAACGTACAAAAACACACTTTAATGTGTTTTAACGGATCCTCAGCAGATTTTATATGAAACACTTGTTGAATGTTAAAATGTATAACAATTAAAAAGTAAATCACAATTAGATGTTATGACAGAGCAGCTGTTCTTTGGTCAATTGTGAGCTAAAAATGTTTTTATATCTTATTAGAAAAGAAAAGTAAAACGTACATATAATTCACCGTAACATCTTCTTTAATATTACAATAAAACTAACTTCGCTTAATGTTTTTCAATTCTTCAGCCAAGCTTTATAGATTTAAAAAATATCAACATAATGTAAATTATCCCAAATAATTTCTTGATTTATCAAATTCTGATGTAAAAGTAAATGTAATGTTTTCTGTGTTAGAAAATACAAATCTCTGGTACTTACAGTGAACGATGAGTTTGGTTCCTCCACCAAAAGTGACCACAGTGATACAAACTCATTGAGTGGCCGTACAAAAACCTCCTGCACTGTCAGCAAGCATGTATCACTGAGAAAGCTCCCTGATCTCACTGATAACAGAGACACATATACAGTTTTTAAATCAACAAAGCTTTTCTAAAGATATGGATTACATCTCTGGAAGAATTAAGATGATTTATGTCATTTCTCATCACTTTTCTACACCTGGCAGAGAAACCATTACAGTCTTCTACACAACTAACTTTGTCAGTTTTATATTAGTTTCTACACGGTTAAATGAACACGAGGCTTTTCAATAATAGTTATTAACAAATGTATTTGAAACAGAACTGAAACATGTTATTTATCTACAGTGAATCTCTGTATGTATGTTAATGTCAGACAAACAGACATATCATACCAACCACAGTGGACACAAACTCAAATCCTCATCTCCACTCCTGATATAAATATGTTCTTCCATTCAGATGATAGACGGTGTAAATCCAGACAGTGTTCCTCCTGGTTTCGTGTCCCACGTTGCCTTCAGTGTGCTGAGAGCAGAGACATCATTTCCATAGAGAGGAGGCTTTGCATGGTCAGCTGATCCTCCAGTGAACTGAGAAGGTTTATAGTCCTGTGAGTTCAACACTGCAGGACTCACATGTGTCAGTCAGCAGAAAGCACCATGACTCTCATCACCATCCTCATCTGGACGCTGGCCTGCTGCTGTTTCACAGGTTCATTCACTCAGCAACATTTCAAACATCATGTGCTGCCTTTCCTCTCCTTTCTTTCTGCTGAGAAATCAATGATCTGTTTCTGTGTGCAGGATGCAGCGGTCAGACTGTGACTGTGACTCAGCCTGCAGTCGAGACGTCTGCTCCAGGATCCACCGTCACTCTCACCTGTAAAGCCAGCACAGATGTTGCCGGTAATAATTATATGTTCTGGTATCAACAGAAATCTGGACAGCCTCCAAAGCTCCTGATAAAACTTGCGAGCACACTATTATCAGGAACAGAACCTCGGTTTAGTGGCAGTGGAAGCGGCTCTGACTTCTCTATGACCATCACTGGACTGAAGGCTGAAGATGCAGCAGTTTATTACTGTCAGAGTTACCACAGTGGCCCAGTGTTCACACAGTGATTTGTCGTCGTACAAAAACCTCCCTCAGTCAGACTGCAGAGACTCTGAGCTGTTACAGCAGGAACCACCTGCAGCTGCTGAAGAGGAAGAGACTGACACAGCCCACTGAACTCAGAGCTGACAGGAACCCACCCAGCACTATTCACTTCTTATTCTTAAATAAACATAATCTTACTACTCATTGAGATTAAACCCAGTCTGAAACACATTATATGTAAAAGCAGCATTACACACAAACCTTATTGTGATCTCTGCTTCCCCGAATTAAAACAACAAACGCTCTTTAGCTTTTCCCCACATGTCTCCACTCGGTGTGTTTCACAGCAGGAGCATCTCTGGCCTCTCTGGAGTTATTATTTCATCATTATTATAAAGATCCTGATTAAAAATGACAAAGATCAATCTAATGAAGTCTTTAAAATGTTAAACGGTGGCTGATTAAAACCCTCTTATTCACATCAATCAATGAACTTATCCATTAGTTAACCTCAAATTCACATCTTAGTTAAAAACTTCAGGTTTTCTAAACACCAGTTTAATAGAAGTTTCCTGAAATGTTTTTTTGTTCCATTATTGAAACCAAAAACAGCAGGAACATCCAAGAGACGTTGAGTTTGAACATGATTTGACCCCTGACCCCCCCTGAGACCACCAGTGCAAAGCAGAGGCTTTAGGACGAGCAGACGTACATCACAATCACAATCAAGTTTATTACCAGATACTTTGACACATACAAGGAATTAGCTTTGGTGTCTGGTGGTACGAACATAAACAATCTAAGAAAATAAGTTGCCATAGTAGGTAAAAAATATAAAGATAATAAAAATAAGTATTTACACCAAATTTAAATAAAAATATACAAAGGACCTTAAAAGCTAAAACACTAAAACACTTAGAACAATGAATATATGGCAAACTACAGTGAATTATATTTAAAGTGGAGGGCTGTGCAGACATGTGTAAAATGCAGTCAGAGTTGAGCATGATCATGGCTCACAGAATTAAGAAAGAAGAAAGAACAAGATGTTGTTCACATGATGTGCAATAATGTAATTCTGTGTGACTGGCGAAGCCACACACAGTCTACTATTCAACATACTTATTAGTACAAATGCTGTTCAACTATTGTTCTTCAAATCTTTATTCTTCCGCATCTTATTATTGTGCTTTCTTCCTGTATGTTCCTGCCTGTGTACATGACATAAACTGCTCACAACCAATTGCCCCTTGCAGGATTAATAAAGTTGTTGATTGATTGATTATTTCAACCAGATTTCACCGTCTAACTACTTCAGCATACTTTCAGCTAGAGACCATTCAAATATTAAAATGTTCAGCTCCTTCAGGACACTTTTCTTGTTTTTGACATTTATACTTTTTTAAATATACTGCTTTTTAAACTTATATTTTTACAATGTAACCCAATGGGAGTATCCTTCAAATCCTCTTTTACCTACACCGTGTTTAAAATGCTGCTCCTTCAGCATACTTTCAGCTACAGACTTCATTCCTACTTTGAAACGGTCACAAAACATTCAGTTATCACATTTGTATTCAGCTTTTTGATATCTTTTAGAGTTTCTAACTCATCAACGTTTAAGTTTTATATAATGGTTGTCTATGGGATGGACTCTTCAGGGCTAGAGTGCGTGACATCCTCACTTATGGCGCGTTTCCACTGCAGCGGGTAGCCCCGTTTAAGCGTCCTTAACCGTCCTCAAGCGGCCAGGCCGGTTTTTGGTGGCGTTTCCATATAGCCTAGTACCGGCCAGCGGGTACTTTTTCCCTCTTTTTCCGGCCTCATAAAATCGTGGTTCTATCAGACCAGGGCCAGGGCTGAACTAGTGACGTCAACACTCTCGACTGCTGATTGGTCAGAGAGAATCGTCACAAGATTGCGCGCGAGTTCATCCCTAGCGTCGCATATATATCTAGAAGCAAGCTTGCAGCATTTTTATAAACAGCATTTTGTAAACGGATGAGCTACAAAAATGGCTACGTCTAATAAGAAAAGCACACCGTGGTCGACCGAGGAGGTGACGACGTTCCTACATCTCATTGGGGATGATCAAATCCAGCGGGAGCTCGACGGAACAACTCGAAATGTGAACAAAAACAAAGCCGATCGCCCCACCTACACTGCGTTGCTACCCCAGGTCCTAAACTGTAATGGAAATGCGCCACGGCCTGGGCCGGCCAGCGAGGCAGCCCGAGGCCAGAGCGAGGACGCTTAGGGACGCTTAAACGGGGCTACCCCGCTGCAGTGGAAACGCGCCATTAGAGTGCTGAGGGTGGTGCAGCTGCCTGGTTTGGCACCCCCACTATAACTATGTCCAAGATAGTCGTACTGTCACCAAAATCACACTGGTGCTTGTTTTTTCCATCTTATCGGAGAAGGATAATATGGAAACCTCATATTTTAATTGGCAGACTTCTAGAACAATTTGAAATAAGCAATAATCTTATGGACTTGATTCTTGATTTTTTAACCAATAGGACACAAAGAGTGTGCGTGAATGGGACCTTATCTGATCAAGTCAGCTCCTCCACTGGCTACCCCACAAGGATGTATCCTTTCGCCACTATTATTTATAATTAACACTAATATGTGTCAAAGTAGGTGGGAAAATAGGACTATTTTAAAGTATACAGATGACTCTGTAATTGTTAGTGGGCTCCAGGACAATGAGACCAGCCACGGCCCTGTCTTTGACGACTTTGTCAGGTGGTGTGAGGAGTCCTATCTACAACTGAACATAAGCAAAACCAAGGATATGATCATTGATTTTAGAAGACATCCCCACATACATGAAGTCTTAACAATCGCGAATCAGAAACTAGAATTAGTGCAATCATACAAATATCTGGGGACAATTATTGACTCAAAATTTAGCTCTGATCCAAAATGTGAAGCTGTGTGAAAAGGGGGCACCAGCGTTTGTACTGTCTTAGGAAACTGTCCTATTTAACATTGACAAAACCATGATGATTGTTGGGGAAATATTTTCCAAGGTCCATGACTTTGACCCAGTTTATCAGTTCAAACTGTCCTGACTGAGCACACGCACCTGTAACCTTGGCTGCTGTGCTCTCAGTGTTCTGTCTCCCTGTTCCTGCCTGTTGGAGTCAGCTGATAGAGGTGTTATGATTCTATCTTGTTATGCACAATGTTGATTATTCTCTCTGAACTAGCTAAATACATGGGTCTGGCCGCAGGCACGACTGCAGTGCACGCAGGGAGTGGAAGCAGAGCGCTGAACACTCACGGCTCTTATTAAAACGGCGCTTTCTCACCGGAGTACTTGTCCCCGTCATTCTTAAAGTACCGACACTAATGAAACGGAGGAATCGTACCGTTTTTAACGGCAGGGTATCGCGGTACCTTTCAAGTATCGGTACACCGTGCAACACTAGTCTGGGGTAGAGTTCTTCAGAATTGACGTGGCAACTCTCCCGTGCAGTCAGACCATGGCTGCTGTGACTTGTGATGTGAATCCTCCGGCCGAACCTCCTAAATAAACCATCAGTGTTTGACATCAAAGCTCCTGCTCTTCCCGTGTCTCTTTACTGAGTCGGTGACTCCCACTGCATTGCTACACAGAAGTTTCCCTTACAATGATCATATTTTATCGTGCTTTTATCGAGTCGATTCTGTCTTTTTCATTCATGTCATGGTTTGGTAACCTGACTTTAAAGAGCAGAAACTCTCTGAGTCAGATAATCAAGTGGTCCAGCAGACTGATTGGTGAGCCACAGCTAAACCTGGAGACCCTGTACCTCAGGCAGTTACAGCGGTTATCCAGCTCCATATGAGACGATGACTCCCACCCTCTGCACTCAGAATTTAAGCTTCTTCCTTTGGGCCGGAGGTTACTTGTCCCAAAGAGTAGACCGAAGCGGTATAAAAACAGTTTTATCCCAGCAACTATTGCACAAATTAACACATCATAGGAGTGTCACACAGATGCCAATTTATGTATTTCATTTTTAATTTTGAATGTCCATGTTTGTACTAGAGTTTGTACTTGTGTTTTTCTTATTAAATGTTTTTGAGATTTGACGGAGCAGGGTGTACTTGTTATTTATCCTTTTATTATAGATATGTCTGTTGTTTGTGTTTGTTTTTAGAGTGTGTCAGGATGGATCCCTTGTCCTTTTTTCTGCAAACAAAATCTACCTACGGGTACAAATAAAGAACCTGAACCTGAAGGTTTTTCATCTTCTGTCTAATATTATGTTGGTGTCTCGTTTCGGTCATAACGCCATTTGCTGGTTTCAGAGTTATCTAACCGACCGTACTCAATGCGTCAGGTTGGGTAGTACTGTCTCTGAGCCTGTCACCTTGGAGAAGGGAGTTCCACAAGGCTCTGTTCTGGGGCCCTTGCTCTTTTTATTACACGTAAACAATATTTGTAATCAGATGCAATTTTCTATATCATATTTATGCTGATGACACTATTGTATACTCATGTGCTCCTTCTCTGGATATGGCCGTTTCCAATTTAAAATCTGATTGTATCACGCTGCAGCATGCGCTTCTTGATTATAAAGTGCTATTGAACGGTAAGAAAACCAAATCAATGCTTTTTTCTCCCAAGTCAGCGTCCTCTTACCTCTCCATTGACACCCTTGCTGTTGTCTCTGTTGAGTTTGTTGATACATACAAATATCTGGGCTTTTGGTTGGACAGAAATCTAAAATTTAAACACCACATTGAAGTTCTAACTAAGAAATTGAAATTCACTCTTGGCTTCCTTTACAGACTTAAACGTTGTTTTTCAACATCTTCCCGTAAAAGGTTGGTCTCTGGCTTATTCCTGTCTCAGCGTGACTACAGTGATACAATCTATAGATTTGCCTGTCCCACTGTTTTGGCCAAACTTGACCCACTCTACCATGCTGCACTGCAATACATATCAAATGCACCCTATAGGACTCATCATTGCACGCTATAGCCTAACTGGATGGTCCTCACTTAGTATGCGTGGGATGCAGCACTGGTTTTTATTAATGTATGAAGCCATTTTAGGTAAGCTTCCACTGTATATATGTGCCAGATTTTGCCTTCTTGGCCAGGTCAGCATTGTAAATGAGATTTTGTCTCAATGTTTTCATCTGGTTAAATTATAATTTTTTTGATTATAAAGCCATGGAAAGAGATGCACAATGCAACTTAGAGACTAAGTGAACAAAGAGAGAGGAGAAAATAGACGCAACAAGTCCACAAAGAAATGCATAATGATGAGAAAGAGGCATGACGCCACAAAGAAGTGCTAAATTACTTCATAAAGAGGCAAAACAACTACAAAGAGACCCAGACAGACTCTAGATTGTTATACAGGGCGACTGCAAAGCGATAAAGACTCACAAGAGAACTTTGCTCCGATAAAGAAGGGACTTTTATGTCACTGTATCTCAGATTCTGTGCATGATGTGAAAGATTCAAATGTCTTTACATACTCCTATGTCGACACAAGAGGGCAGCATTGTCGTTTTTCATGCAGATGTAACACAGACAACTCTAAGAGAAGATTTGTTGGCCTTAATGCACAATTATCCAGTTTTTAAATAAGGTTATTGCTGGTTTTACTGCTGGTACTGGTAGTCTACATCCAGGGTGAGATACTGATTTGAGTCTACAGGGAGTGCATTAACCAGCCTTTACAGAAATAGGGTTATTTTAGTTTAATGTTCAAACTGTTCTTCATATAAAATAGTTTGCATTCAGTAGCTATGTTTTATTTCTCTGTCTCTGAGCTGTAGTTGATTTGAAATGAAAGTCACTCCCACCACCAAGAGCTGAAGATGCATGAAGTGACTGCTGTATGGGAGCTAATGTCGGCCTCATAGTCATACAAGAACCTCCCTCGTATGAAACAGCGTACAGAGTGCTGAGCTGTGACCTGACCTGAGGTTCTGATACGCACCACCGGCACAGACGTACAGAAACTACATGAGCCCCAGTCAGAGGGGAAGTGAAACTCAAATGTTCCCCTTTCCTAATACATATGTTCAATTATATACATAGTCACTAAGAAAAAAGGCCATCTCTGATGAGAGATTAATGTAAAACAGGATCTACAGTGTGACACTATGTGACTAGTACTGTGTTGCACATTTATTAACCAGGCAATACATTAAATGCATAGATCAGGGGTGTCTTGTAAATTTTTTATTTGCCGATTCAAAAGTATAATGGAATATGGCCCACACCTGACACTTCATCTTGTCTTATAATATACTTCTTAAATATATATGTTGACTTATATTACATAGTAGTATTCATGTGGCAATAAACCCACTTTTCAAATACATTTAAGTTGAAAACATTTTCTAACAAATCTTAGTTGATGAAAAAAAGCCCAATAACTTATTTGCATAACAAGCTTGAAATATATACTTCATATTTCCCCTTATCTTAAGCAATCTGAGGCTCCTGTTTTAAGGGATGAGCTGCCAACACTTGTTATAACAAAATAAATGAAACCCTATGGAGAGCTGTGAGCTTTTTTACTTAAATCATATTCAGGTAACAAGCATGATTTACATTTGATTGATTTAACTTATAACTTAATTTATGAGGCAAAATACCTCACCTCTAGTGAGTGGCCCAGCCCTTTGTATGTGTTTCTCTATGTGGCCCCTCATTGAGGTAACATCATCCAGTCTTGACAGACCTGTTAGATATTAGATGTCTCTCTGTTGCATGGCATGCTGTGTCTCTATTCAGTGGATTTGATAACAAGAAGGGACATCCTAGAGAATCAAACACTCAGTGGATATTGAGTTCAATGTAGATCGATTTGCCAGCGGGGGAACTGTTAAACTGTTCATGAGATACTTCAGAAAGAAGTGGAAACAAGGAAAGATGTTTGCAAAGAAAAGAACGTACCTAGAAGAGCATTACCCTCACATTTCAGAGTGACTCTGAATGACCAAATGATGTTCAAGAGATGTTAAACCGTAACTAAAACTCACCTCAACTGCATTTTGGTTCCTCAAGGACAGGTGTCTGTGTGACGTGTGACATGTCATTTGCATGATTGTAATGCTTCACTGCTCCTCACAGTTTTAAGGGCTTGAGTCACGTAGAGTCTGAACCGTGTTCCTGCACTCATCCTGAGAACTGGAGATCATGTTGTCAGTAACTCTGCTTGTCATGTTGGGCTTTCTGTGTCAGGGTGAGAGACTTTGAAAATGTATCATCTGAAATGATAGGAGTAATGTATGTGTGGTTCAATGTGTGTCTTTTCTTTTCATGTTTGCATCCAATGTGCTTTGTCTTTAACTCTTTCTATTATCATTTAAACTGCTGCTCCATGTTGTTGGTTATCTAACATTTCACTTCTCATTTCAGAGTCTTCTGCCAACAAGTTCCTGACTCAGACTGACTCATCCAAGTCTGTTAGTGCTGGAGGGACTGTGACCATCAGCGCTACAGGGAGCTCTAATATTGGTTCCTATCTCAGTTGGTATCTTCAGAAACCTGGACAGGCTCCTAAACTTCTTATATACTCATCATCATCTCTGTTCTCTGGTACTGAGCCTAGATTCAGTGGTACTAGATCTGGTGCTCAGTACACTTTAACCATCAGTAACGTTAAGGATGTTGATGCAGGAGATTACTATTGTCTTGGCTACCATGGTGATGGCACGTTCACACAGTGATTTAGAGCCGTACAAAAACCTCCTTCAGTCTCAAGTAAAGCGTCCTGCTGCAGCTGCAGAGGTGAAGAGACTGAGAGGAGGAGAACTGGTCCAGTGAACACAAGAGTCATCAAGCAGAACCACCATGAATCCAAATAAAGCTGAAACACACTCTCAGACACTCTTCAACACCCTGTTTAAACTATATTATTGTCACCCTGAACATTGAGCTGACAGGAACTTCACCAAACACTAACTCCATATTCACATTATGTTGAAAAATCAATTCTTAAAAATCTAAATATCTACTCTCAGCTCAGATTAAAGGCTGATCTTATTTATGAGCCATAAACTTTCTGCCTCACTAAAAATCAAGTTCACATTAGGATCAAATTCTTAATCACGTTAAAACAGTGTAGTAACTTTCCTTCACCACCAGGTCAATTTCATTGCCAATTAAAAAATAAATATCCAAAGCTTTATCTTGTTCTGCTGATAGAAGTGCAGAATGTTATAAAACCTTTTAATGTCTTACTACTTTAAATAAAACACCAAACACTTCATCATGTTATTTATCAGAGAAAGCTTTATTAGGAACATCCTGAATCATCAACAAGACAGTTACTAAGCACACTCTCATCTCTGCTGAGCTTCACACATCACTCTCTAAGTTGCTGCTGTCCAACACTTTACAGCAGTGTTGTTCTCGGCCACACAAAGCTTCACTTTCCTCTACAAACATTAAAGCTCCTGATGATCAGAGCAGCATGTGTTCTCCTGGGCTCCAGCGGCCCCTCTAGCCCCCACACTGGCTCCTGTGGAGGGACTGGGTCTGGCTGTGGGCATGATGGAGGACCTTGCAGGAGTACAGCTCTCCTGACATCCAGCTCTCCTGGCTCAGGCTCAGGCTGCTGCTGCTGCTGTAGCGTCCGCTCTTCTCCTCCTCCGAGCTGCTCAGGACCCCCTCTGTCACCTGTGTGCCGTCCACCTCCCAGCTCACCACGGCTCCCTGAGGAGAGTAGCCGGTCAGCAGGCAGGCCAGCGTGAGCGAGCCCCCAGAGAGCTGCTCAGAGGAGGAGGGGGCCAGCAGAGAGACGGAGGGCCTGAGCATGGAGCCCGCTGCAGGGGAGAGAGACACAAGGAGCAGATGAACTTCCACTGAGGGACAGACGCTGTGAGACAGAGTCCATACAGGACACATTCAAACATTCAGAGGCTTTACTGTCATATGCACAGTAGCTGCAGTGAATCAGAACCAGAGTCAGAATACCTTTAGTAGTCCCTCAGAGGGGACATTCACGCTGTTACAGCAGAAAAGAGCCAGAGACAGCTTCATGTTACGTAGAAGCATGCATACAGAAGTATTCAAGTAAAAAAAAGTTATAATATAATAAAAAATGAAATAAAAAGTTACACAATTTACAAAATACACATCCTGTAACAGTTCTGAGGATTTAGCAGCCAGGTATATATTGCACATATTGCACATATTGCACATAGGCGATGTAGATAAGGCAATGAAAAGCCCAAGGCTCCTCCAACAATGCAACATACAAATATGTAGGACATAAAACAATAAAACATATTTTAAAAACATTCAAATAGTTCCAGAACAAACAGAACGAGGAAGGAAATGAGGGTTTAATAAATAAAATAAAATGTTAAACTTGACGTTTGGAGTCAGAGTGTTATTCTGTAGCTCTCATCAGAACAAGAATTATACATTGAAGGTACAGGACAGAGAAAGTGGGGGTCAGCTGTCAGCATGAGCTGTGATCACAAGAGGAGCTGAGGCATGGGAGAACACGAGGGTTTCATTCATAAAATCAAACGGTGATACTTTATATCATTCTGGCATTTAAAATAATGAATCTTCTTCTTTGGCACTCATCAAAACTCCTGAAGAGTTACATGAAAGTAAGCAACGTAATGAAGGTGTTCATGTAATGATCATTATATGAAAAGCTTTATCTCTGCTTTACAATGTTTCAGAATGAATAACTAATCTCTGAAATCATTTACTGTTCAGAAAAACAAAAAGTAACATCTCATACAGTTGAAGACTTTGTCATCTGTTTGTTTCACTTCCTTTGAACTCTTTTAAACTAACGGACTGTGAACGCACCCTGCAGCGACTCTGAATGTACAAAAACACACTTTAATGTGTTTTAACGGATCCTCAGCAGATTTTATATGAAACACTTGTTGAATGTTAAAATGTATAACAATTAAAAAGTAAATCACAATTAGATGTTATGACAGAGCAGCTGTTCTTTGGTCAATTGTGAGCTAAAAATGTTTTTATATCTTATTAGAAAAGAAAAGTAAAACGTACATATAATTCACCGTAACATCTTCTTTAATATTACAATAAAACTAACTTCGCTTAATGTTTTTCAATTCTTCAGCCAAGCTTTATAGATTTAAAAAATATCAACATAATGTAAATTATCCAAAATAATTTCTTGATTTATCAAATTCTGATGTAAAAGTAAATGTAATGTTTTCTGTGGTAGAAAATACAAATCTCTGGTACTTACAGTGAACGATGAGTTTGGTTCCTCCACCAAAAGTCAACCACAGTGATACAAACTCATTGAGTGGCCGTACAAAAACCTCCTGCACTGTCAGCAAGCATGTATCACTGAGAAAGCTCCCTGATCTCACTGATAACAGAGACACATATACCGTTTTTAAATCAACAAAGCTTTTCTAAAGATATGGATTACATCTCTGGAAGAATTAAGATGATTTATGTCATTTCTCATCACTTTTCTACACCTGGCAGAGAAACCATTACAGTCTTCTACACAACTAACTCTGTCAGTTTTATATTAGTTTCTACACGGTTAAATGAACATGAGGCTTTTCAATAATAGTTATTAACAAATGTATTTGAAACAGAACTGAAACATGTTATTTATCTACAGTGAATCTCTGTATGTATGTTAATGTCAGACAAACAGACATATCATACCAACCACAGTGGACACAAACTCAAATCCTCATCTCCACTCCTGATATAAATATGTTCTTCCATTCAGATGATAGACGGTGTAAATCCAGACAGTGTTCCTCCTGGTTTCGTGTCCCACGTTGCCTTCAGTGTGCTGAGAGCAGAGACATCATTTCCATAGAGAGGAGGCTTTGCATGGTCAGCTGATCCTCCAGTGAACTGAGAAGGTTTATAGTCCTGTGAGTTCAACACTGCAGGACTCACATGTGTCAGTCAGCAGAAAGCACCATGACTCTCATCACCATCCTCATCTGGACGCTGGCCTGCTGCTGTTTCACAGGTTCATTCACTCAGCAACATTTCAAACATCATGTGCTGCCTTTCCTCTCCTTTCTTTCTGCTGAGAAATCAATGATCTGTTTCTGTGTGTAGGATGCAGCGGTCAGACTGTGACTGTGACTCAGCCTGCAGTCGAGACGTCTGCTCCAGGATCCACCGTCACTCTCACCTGTAAAACCAGTAGCAATGTTTACAGATGGGGTAGTATTTATGATAATTTGTTCTGGTATCAACAGAAATCTGGACAGCCTCCAAAGCTCCTGATAAAATATGCGAGCCAACGTGAATCAGGAACAGAACCTCGGTTTAGTGGCAGTGGAAGCGGCTCTGACTTCTCTATGACCATCACTGGACTGAAGGCTGAAGATGCAGCAGTTTATTACTGTCAGAGTCACCACAGTGGTAACGTGTTCACACAGTGATTTGTCGTCGTACAAAAACCTCCCTCAGTCAGACTGCAGAGACTCTGAGCTGTTACAGCAGGAACCACCTGCAGCTGCTGAAGAGGAAGAGACTGACACAGCCCACTGAACTCAGAGCTGACAGGAACCCAGCACTAAAAAAAACATATACAATAATATATGTCTTTCTGACTTATTGTGATAGATTTAGTAAAAGTGCTTATAAAATATGTAATGACTTTGAAATGTTCTAGATTAACTATATATCTCTTCTGTGCTCACACATTTTGAAACTAGTATTTGCATGTTTCATTTTCAGATGTAAATACCAAGAAGCCTTAGTAAACACTTTGAAACGACATTCTTCCAGAATAAAAACAAAGTACATGAAGCGCAGAACACATATATGAGGCAGACTACTTGTAGTTTACTTGACTCTGCATCAGTACATTTTAGAGGAATATTTTTTAGCAGTCAATTAAACCCCATTAAAGGTGGGGTAGGTAAGTTTGAGAAACCGGCTCGAGATACACTTTTTGTTATATTCCATGGAATGCTCTTAACATCCGATAGCAATGAATACATTAAGTGCTTTGACAACAAATCCATAAAAATCTGTGGAAGCCGTGGCGCTGTAAAAAGCACGACCAATCATCTGAGCCGGCCCGGCTAAAGTAACTGGATGGCCTACATGCCTGTCAGCCTTCCATCTGTGCACAAACTGATCTCGTGCCCTCATTGGTCATGTGAGCGTTCGTGTGTGTTGGAGGAGGGGCTCTGTAAGGAAGTGGCAGATTTTTTCCGGCTGTGTATTTTCAAATTCTAGCGCACTCGAGCTGGTTTCTCCAAAATTACCTACCCCACCTTTAAGACAACATCACTTAAGTGGGTTAGCGATGGCAAGACAGGGATGTTCCCTCATTGGAGTCTCGACACACAGAGAGCTGATGAGCTTAGTGGAAGGAAGCGTATCTGCACTGCATGTGATGAGATCTGAAGGTGAATCAAAGGGAGGAGGGTTACGTATGAGGGGCCGTACAGGCCATAATTCATACTGGTCCTCTCACGCACATACATTCTCCTTTTACATACATGTATTTTCACTCTTACATACATACATTCTCCTTTTACATACATATATTTTCACTCTTACATACATACATTCTCCTTTTACATACATATATTTTCACTCTTACATACATACATTCTCCTTTTACATACATATATTTTCACTCTTACATACATACATTCTCCTCTTACATACATATATTTTATAATATGCATGTCTGAAGAGAATATATGTATGCAAGAGAAGAATGTAGCTATGTATGTGTGAAGACAATATATGTATGCAAGTGAAGAATGTATGTATGTGTGAAGACAATATATGTATGTGAGAGAAGAATGTATGTATGTGAGAGAGAAAGTATAGTGGAAACGGAAGGAGTATGGTTGAAACGGAAGGCAGGTCATTCTTGCGCTGTGATTGGCTCAGAAGGTCGAGCGGGGCGGGCTCATGTTCAGAACTTCTGATTTCAAATCAACATAACATGATGGAGGGAGATGATTCGCGTAGATTGCAGCAAGCATTAGGGGTTTTAAGGAACATTTGGTCAACCCCTGAAACTGTCACATCCCTGGCCAGGTGTCCTTGCGGGTGCGTTCGCTTTACTTATCAGAGCGTGCCGTAAGGGCGGTTACCCTTTGGTTTATAAACTCCCGCCTGGGATGGACTGATGCATTAGATTATGTGCTATATGGAGGGGACTTTGACAGAGTATTTCTCACAAAGTACACAGTAAAAGTACTTCAATGTATTGTTAGTAGCAGTCAAACTAGTACCGAGTCCAACAGTGTCAGTTTTATGAAGAACTTGTGGTAAAATATATTTGTAAAAAGAAAATGAAGAGCTACTGATTTGAAAAAACGGCTCTCTGTATAGTTTAAATCTCCTAACAATGTTGTCCATGTATTATTCTCCCCTCGAGTCCAACAGTGTCAGTTTTATTAAGAACTTTCAGTAACAAATATTTGTAAAATATGAAGAGCAGCTGATTTGAAAAGACAAACGCGAGAGACGGCTGAGTGACCGCAGTGCAGAATCGCTGTATAGTTTAAATCTCCTAACAATGTTGTCCATTTTAGACACATGCCTATTATATTTACAGCCTTAATAACATTCATTTTCTGGGCTCAATGTGTGTCTTGGCCGTTTTCGTTGTGATCGTTAAATTCACCTTGTTTCCCCTTGTTTATAATTATGTTCAACGTTCCAAGCAAACGAGTGCTTTTGTTTTGAAATCACTTCCGCGAGTATCGCCCCTCCCCCCCCCCCCCTCGCTACAATGACCATTAGACCATTTAGTAAGGTAAAAAGCAAAAACGCCTCGCAGACACTCTTCCGTTTACTTGTTTAATAAAGAAAAACAAGTGGTCCGTAGATACACGGAGTCATCTAACCCTAACCCTCTCCCTCCATCATGTTGATTTGAATCAGAAGTTCTGAACATGAGCCCGCCCCGCTCGACCTTCTGAGCCAATCACCGCGCAAGAATGACCTGCCTTCCGTTTCAACCATACTCCTTCCGTTTCCACTATACTTTCTCTCTCACATACATACATTCTTCTCTCACATACATATATTGTCTTCACACATACATACATTCTTCTCTCACATACATATATTGTCTTCACACATACATACATTCTTCACTTGCATACATATATTGTCTTCACACATGCATATATTATAAAATATATGTATGTAAAAGGAGAATGTATGTATTTAAGAGTGAAAATATATGTATGTAAAAGGAGAATGTATGTATGTAAGAGTGAAAATATATGTATGTAAAAGGAGAATGTATGTATGTAAGAGTGAAAATATATGTAGGTAAAAGGAGAATGTATGTATGTAAGAGTGAAAATGTATGTATGTAAAAGGAGAATGTATGTATGTAAGAGTGAAAATATATGTATGTAAAAGGAGAATGTATGTGCGTGAGAGGACCAGTATGGATTACGGCCTGTACGGCCCCTCATAGTTACGTTTTGCATGTAAATAACAACTGACAGCAGTAGAGAAAGAAACAGTTTTAATGTTTCACTGAAACTAGATGATGAATCATGGAGAATGTGACAAAATCTGATTGGTTTAAAGTGGCCCTTTAAGTCACATTAATATGTAACACTCGCACTTCTGTTGGCAGGAGCTCCAACACATTGTAGGTGATAGGCTAAGGGGCGGGACATCTCTAAGTGGTTGACCAATCACAACGGAGCCGGACAGCTAACCAATCAGAGCAGACTGGGCTCTGGTTTCAGACAGAGGGTGAAAAGAGGTGGTGCAGCATAGGCAGTATGATAAAAATAAAGAGCTTTCTGAACATTAAAGCATGGAGACATACTATATATTATTTTGAAACCTGAAAATAAGCAGAACAGGGCCTCTGAACACTGAACGCCCAAACTTTACCGTAAATGAATCCGTTTCAGCAACCCCTCTGATATTGACATTTTAATCTTTTGTATTATAAAAACAATTGACTATAGCCACTTTAATGATTTCTGTGTGTAACTATTGTTCAAGTCAAGGATTAATGTTATTGGATCAGTTTCAGGTGACGTAGGCAGACATTGTCTAAGAGAGAAAACTCTTGGATCTGTTCCCAGGTCAGCAGGAACGCTGTGCAGGCGCAGCTCGACCACAGATTTAACATGACATGCAAACAACACGCCAGAGGAGACAGAAATAAAGAGGGCAGTTTATAACAATGGCATGACATGATTTCTGTGAAATTATATCCCACAGTGTTATATCTTCCTTATTCTACGATTCCTATCTTTTACTGCCACTCATTAATACATCTGATTCCACCTTTTAGAGATTTGATTCTGCTGATATAAGAGCAAATATGTAGACCATGTTAGCGTGCCAGGAATCATTTGTCTCATAGCAGTGCAAACAGAGTGCGCTCTCCTCGTCGACCTGCAGGTTTAAACTTCATTTAAGGCTGCTTCTCTGGGCCAATAAGACATAACATGCCAATTAAGATGCCAAGCTCTGACATAAAGGCCCTCAGTGCACGCCCTGATCCCCGAGCAGACGACACATCCTAACCTCATAGTAAGATCAAAGTGGCAGCACATGTCCTGAACTTGAAGGAATGATGCTGGTGTCTTACCTCCGGCCTCTGCCCTCTGGTAGTCCTGCCCGCACAGTGCAACTCCTCACTCATAGCAGCGAGTCAAACCCAGCATTATACTGTCCTTAGGAAGCATCAAGACATCAAAACTATAAGCTTTTATCTTATTTTATATTCCTTATAAATATATTTTGTCTCGTGAGTAAGCGTATCTAAAGATCCTTTGCATGCTTTTGTCCCTAAAATGTCTGACCTATATGCTGACTTGGCACTTGGCATAATTAAGTTTGGCTCTAGAAAAGTGTTTTACAATTCTGCTGATGCTTGAAATAAAGCCAATTGCATTAATGTGATTTTGCTGCACAACAGACTCCTAATCGAGTGGAAGTTAAGAGGCTGAATCTCTGCTGTTTTCTTTAATGAATCAAAAGTAAACTGCAGCAGGATATCACGTTAGCGTTTGGCGGGGCAGGGCCCAATCCACAATTTCTCATTATTAAGCTAGAAATAAAGATAAATGCTTTTGGCTCATTTTCAGAGTTTTTCCTTTTTAGGCGGGAATTCCATGTTTCAAAAAAAGCTGTTTCAACATTGCCATGTTTTTTTATTTGTCATAGGCCTACATTAAAACATGCTTGGAGGTGCAATGAACCCAAAGCATACTTTTGTTGGTGGAAGTAAAAAAAACATGCCAGCAAAAGTTTGTGTTGCTGTGCCCTTGTGTCCATATTAATACAAGTCACTGCTTAATGATTGGGGTGGTAGGCGGGTAGTAATAACTCATAATGAGCTATAAGTGTGGAAGCTAAACAGTGCTGAGCCCATTGAATAAGCCTGCGTCGCAGTGGAGGAGCTTCTGTTGGCATG